GAGAGCTGAGAGCTCTCCCAGGTCTTTTCTGAGCGTACGCACAGTCCACGCGTGCAGTGTGGCCCTCTGGATCTCTGATCCAGGAAATTGCCAGATTTTCAAAGCTCTGTGAAAGCCTCCTTCTCCAGCTTTTTCTTTCTTTTTGGTCAGTCTGTTTGCCTAACGTGTTATCCTTGCCTCCTCCTGTTTTTGACAAATACTCCTGTCTAAAAGGCTGTTTGTACAGGGTGAGCTGTTGGTTGGATCAAATACAGACAGCTGGGAAGTGTGATCTTACAGGGCATCACCCGACAGGTCACCTAATGCTAGTTCTCTGGGGATGGGGATTTCAAAGGAAGGGGAAGGCGGTAGAACAGGACAGTTTAAAGCACTGCAGAGCTCACCGTTCCTACTGAGATTCAGCTGTTTTTCTTGAGTAAGCTCTCTCCTATTTCTTTCTTTTTTTAAAGATTTATTTATTTATTTGTCTATTTGAAGGGCAGTTAGAGGGAGAGACAAAGAGAGGTCTTCTGTCTGTTGGTTCACTCCCCAAATGGCTGCAATGGCCAGATCTGGGCCAATCCAAAACCAGGAGCTTTATTTGGGTCTCCCACATGGGAGCAGGGGCCCAAGCACTTGGGCCATCCTCCACTGCTTTCCCAGGTGCATTAGCAGAGAGCTGGACTGGAATTGGAGCAGCTGGGATTCAGACCTGCGTTCATACGGGATGCCGGCGCAGCAGTCTGGGATTTTAGTTGGCTGTGCCACAATGCCGGCCCCTTTTTCATTTTTATAAGTCCTTGATTAATCTCTATGGATTTGAAAAAGTTGATTCTGGTGATTTTTTTTTTTTTTTTGACACTGTTCTTATTGCTTTTATGGTGGAGAAGATTTTTAGAGGCCCTTACTCCTTACTCTACCATTTCCCATTTCCACTGATGTCATTTCTTTTTTTTTTTTTTTTTTTTGACAGATAGAGATAGAGAGAAAGGTCTTCCTTCCGTTGGTTCACCCCTCAAATAGCCGCTACGGCTGGCGCTGTGCTGATCCAGAGCCAGGAGCTTCCTCCTGGTCTCCCATGTGGGTACAGGGGCCCAAGCACTTGGGCCATCCTCCACTGCCTTCCTGGGCCACAGCAGAGAGCTGGACTGGAAGAGGAGTAACCGGGACTAGAACCCGGCGCCCATATGGGATGCCAGCGCGGCAGGTGGAGGATTAACCAAGTGAGCCATAGCACCGGCCCCTCACTTCTGTCTTATTTGGTACATTACTGTAGTCCAAACCTTCCCAAATCTCTGCTGCTACTCCTCAATTCTAGCTCTTTCCCGAAACTTCACTGTGCAGCAACTGAAGAGTTAATACCTGACCATTCTGAGTGGTCCGTGCTTGTGTTGTGTGGTAGATAAATATGTCATATAGATTTGTGTATGCTGTGTGTATATGTACAAAGACATGTATATATGATATTTCATCTAGCATTACACACGCAAAACACACCACATAATAAAAGAGAGACTTTAAAGGAAGTTTTAAACTGCTTTGGAGGTGTGTGTTTGTGCTGTCCATATACACATGTACACAAAGAGCCTTTGTTTAAACCCCTTCTCTCTTTTTGTCCCCCTACCCCCATGACTTGTGACCCCATCAACTCTTTCACCTCCGGTCATTGTTCGGCATTATTTCTGTTCCCCCTCGGTAAGCTCCTCTGACATGCACTCGCGTTCTGAGGTCACTCAGAGCCGCTCGCCGTCCGTACTTTGAGACGTCTTGTGTAGCATTTTCACCTTAAATCGGCTTTGTCTCAGGATTCCTCACAATAACTGCCCCAGGGTTTAGTGCTCTGCTCGGTGATCCGAGTTAATCTTGGGTGATCTCCCTGGGACGGACTTTGCGGGGAGGATATGGGGGTCTTGCGCTAGCTGGAGCAGAGCGGGAGCCCGTCTGTGCGCGCACTGAGTTGTGCTCTGCGCCTCTCTCCTCCTCTAGTCTGGGAGGGCGTTTCTGAAACGCGTTTCCTGAGACACTGACACTTTGTCTTTTTCTTGCCTTTCGTACGGTAGCTCTGTTGCCTGCCAGAGGAACGTGTACGAAGATTTCACTGAATCCTCTCTTAGTCTGCATGGGGCAGGGGAGAGAGCGCCTCTCTCAGGGTCAGAACGCGTCCTCAGTTCTGTCTTTCTCCGTCAGAGGACGTCGTGCTGAGCCTCCCAGCTTTGCTTACGATGGCTTCTGCCCAAGGATGTCTGATGTGAGATCAGCCTCGGAGTGGACCACAGAGCCCTTGGAAGGGCTGCTGACTTCATGTGCAGAGACCGCTGTGTCGCTTCTCTTGGAGCCTGGCCCTTCCACCTCCTGTTTTTGACTTCTTGGTTTAAGTTGTCACAGGCCCGGAGCTACCTCGTGTTATTTCACGTTGGAGCCATGGCTTAGCACTTCCGACAGTGACTCTTGGGACTGTAGGGGTTGTTTGTGGTCATTTTCTGTTTTCAGGAACAGAAAGTGACTGGCGGTGGAAGGAAGGAGGTTGTGCAGCTGTCCGCTGACTTGTTCCCCCGTGCTGGTTTCTCCTCCTCCTGTCCCGAGGCAGCAGGCAGATGGGGTCACCACCACCACAAGTCGGCTAAGTCACCTTTTCCTCCGAAGCTCTGCATCGGAGAGGAGCAGGGCCTTCCCTGGGCCTTCTCCTTCCGGCTGCACCCTGTGGGCCAGGGCGTCGCGGCTGCCCTGCTCCACTCGGTGACGTGTCATGTCTCTCGCCACGATGAGCCAGCAGGAAAGCCATGCCTCGCCAAAGGTTCCATGGCTTCAACTCTTGGGCAGTGAAGCTACCGCTTTGCCCCAAAGCCCAGACTTTCCCTGTCTGGCCACACAGCTAAATTCCTGAGTTCTTTACTCTCCTTCGTTGTTGCCTTGACTGGCTATATTCACACTGAACTATCTAAGTGGATTTTTGAGGTAATATTTTTTTTTTTAATGTTTGTGTGAAAGGGGGAGAGAGAGAGAGAGAGCGAGCAAGCGAGCGCTTCCATCTGCTGGTTCACTCCCCAAATGCCTGCAACAGCCAGGGCTAGGCCAGGCTAGAGCCAGGAACCAGGAACTCTGTCTGGGTTTCCCATGTGGGTAACAGGGATCAAGTACTTGAACCATCATTCGCTTTCCCAGTGCCTTAGCAGGAAGCTGGGTCAGAAGCGGAGTGGCGAGGGCTTGAACCAGCACTCTGATACTGGATGAGGGCATGACAAGCTCTGTCCCTAAGGTACCGTTTGCCCCAGTTGCTGTCAGTTCCAGCCTCAGGAGCAGGTTAGTTTTGCTGAGTCTTCCAGGATCATCATAAACATAGCTCTCGCAGCTGGGCCACCTTAAACCGCTGGCTCCGGGGCTGGCGTCATGACATAGCAGGTGAAGCTGTGGCACCCATATGGGTACAAGTTTGAGCCCTTGCTGCACTGCTTCCCATCCGGCTCCCTGCTCATGCACCTGGGAGAGCAACAGGGGGCGGCCCAAGCCCTTGGGCCCCTGCACCCACGTGGGAGACTGGAGGAAGCTCCTGGCTTCAGACCAACCATGGGGGTCCTTTGGGGAGTGAACTAGCAGATGGAAGCTCTTTCTTTCTCTTTCTCTCTCTCTCTAACTCTGCCTTTCAAATAAATAAAGAAATCTTAAAAAAAAAAAAAAACAACTTGGTTCCTTGCCTTTTCTGAGAAGGCGGTCACGTTAATGTCCTTGGGCAAGGCTGTTCATGAAGGCCTTTGAGGCTTCTTAGCAAGCAAGGGCAAACTTGCATAATGCCAGTAAAATGTGGCTGCATGTTAGCGCTGGTTTCCGGTTCTGGCTGTGGTGCTGGGAGTCGGTGGCCAGCAGGATGCCTGTGGTGTGAACGGTATGAACGGTGTGAACGGTGGTTGCTACCGGGGGCTTGTCCACAAGCTACTGCCTCAACTCGGGATTATGGCCAGGTTCCTGGAAATGGGAAAGTAACTTGAGAAAGACGTTTTTGCTAATCCAGTTCGGTTTCAAATGCCTTTCAGAACAAAGGAGCGCCAATAAGCTGCTTGTAAACAGTCCCAGAGCCATATTTGGGGAGAGGGAAATCAATGTTTTCTATGTCACTCTGCCCCACTGGTCCCCTCAGACTATGCCAAGGCCAGTGAGGCCTTGTTGGTCGTACTGGGGAAGCGAATCCCTAGTTAACTGTAGTGTTTCTGTAGTGTGGAAATGTGACTAAGTTTCCTGCAACTGATTGAACATTGAAGTTTCAGAAATTTAGATTGCTGTGTGACTCTTGGCTCTAAAGGTTCTAATTAAAGTGAGACTTGGCAGTCTTTTAAAAGGAGCCGCTGACTCAGGGACTGCCATTGGCAAAGGAGGTGTTTTAGAGTAAGCACTGCACATTCATAGTCCTCCCTGTCCCTCATCACACTGAAAGTCCCTGGGCTCCCTCCCCGTCTATCTGCTCCTTTTGTACCTGCTAGCTGTCCTTGGCCTCCTGAAGCACTTGAATTCATCTTGGTTTACTGTTCACACATTCATCAGTTTCCATGGTTATAACAAAATACCCAAAGCCGAATATGTATGAAAAAAAGAGGCTGATTTAGCTCCCAGGAGCATCCAAGATCAGGCAGTCCCACTGGTTCGGTGTCTGGTAAAGACTGAGGGCCGATGATGTCCTGGAGGGAGTGTGTGCAAGGGAGGAGGGGGGAGTTCACGAGGTGGGATGGGGCTGCCGGAGCCAGGGAGGACCAGCCTTGCCCTTTCAACGACTTGCTGGGGAGCTGCCTCGGGGGGCCCTCAGTGGTCCTCAGTTCTCCCACACTGGGGAGCTCGGGAGCCACACGGAAACCGTATCCAGATCACAGCCCTTCACTTGCATCTGAGCCATCCCCTTAGAGCCTTCTTCCCTTTGACTGGTCCATGTGTCTCTTTCTTTTGAAAGTTTTTCCAGTTCTAATTGAGTCCCAGAAGCCCCCTACGATGCCCTGATTTCATCACCCTAATATTGTTTTGTTTTTAATGATCTGTAGGAAACCCAGGATGAGTCAGCTGTGTTATGGTTGGATGAAATTCAAGGTGGAATCTGGCAGTCCAACAAAGACACCCAGGAAGCCCAGAGGTGTACGTACCAGTTGTATTCCTGTTTTGGTGGCAATGGGTGTGGCAAGGTGCTCTGTAGCTCAAGTTACAGAGCTTGGCCAGGGCAGTGAGTGTTGGGGTGGCTGAAGGGAACCGTTGTGAGTAGGTGTAGTTGAGGGAATTGGTGTGTGGATTCAGATGCTTTCTAAACTGTTCTATTAACAATTCTCTTTCGGGATAGTTGCCTTGGGAATCTTTGCCATTAATGAGGCAGTTGAAAATGGTGATGTTGGCAAAACACTAAGTGCCCTTCGTTCACCTGATGTGGGCTTGTACGGAGTCATCCCTGAGTGTGGTGAGACTTACCAGAGTGACCTTGCTGAAGCCAAGAAGAAAAAACTAGCCGCAGGTGAGTGATGGGAGAATAAAACGAGCCTGAGCACTTCAGGATGGAAGGGGAGGGATGTGGAGGAAAGGGACGGCTGCAGGGAAGGAGGCGTTAGTGTGGAAGGACAGACTGAGGCCCGCTGTAGAGTGCGTGCGTCTCCCTGCCACGTCCCAGCTGCTGTGTTCCCCAGGATGCGGAAGGAGCAAATTCCCCGACTGTTCACCTTTCACAGGGTGTCGGCAGCTCTGATCATCTGGCCGACAGGCAGTTAACAGTAACTTATCTGCTAAAGAAGACCCTTTCAGGACCCTTTCTTCTTCTTTATTTTTAAAAGATTTATTGAAAGATCTTCCATCTGCTGGTTCACTCCCAAATGGCCCCAGTGACCAAGGCTGGGCCAGGCCAAAGCCAGGAGCTTTATCTGGGTCTCCAACATGGGTGCAGGGGACCAAGGACTTGGCTCATCTTCTGCTGTTTTCCCAGGCATATTAGCAGGGAGCTGGGTCAGAAGAGGAGCAGCTGGGACTTGAACCAGCACCCATAGGGGATGCCGGCACTGCAGCGGCGGCTTTACCCATTACACCACTGCGCCGGCCCCTGGCCCTTTGGTCTTATCGGGAGAGGCTGAGTGCTTGCAGATCTTGGGTCAGAACAGTTTTCTGACATGCAGGACTTAGACGTAGGCTTTGGCTGGCCAGGACCAAGTTAGTCCTGGGTAATTCCACAATTGAACTTCCCAGGTATCTTTTCTTCCTGCCATCACACTCGGCCATCAAGGCTCCTGCTTTTAGGAGGGTCTGCATTGCAAACTTGGCCAGGAGAGCCTGCAGTGTCGGGTGCGGACGTGTGGGGAGTGCGGTTCTGGATTCTTCTACCTTCCCTTTGTTTTCTGCCAGGAGATAACAGCAGCAAGTGGGTGAAGCACTGGGTGAAAGGCGGCTATTACTATTACCACAACCTGGAGACCCAGCAAGGGGGATGGGACGAGCCCCCGGATTTCGTGCAGAATTCTAGGCAGCTCTCTCGGGAGGAGATCCAGGTGGGTCACTCTTCTTGCACTGAGAGAAAGTGGTTGGGTGGTTGGTTTTGTAATGTTTATTCATTTTGACTTTTTTTTTTTTTTTGAAATGCAGTGAGAGGTAGAGAGGTCTTCCACTTGCTAGTTCACACCTTAAATGCCCACAGCAGCTGGAACTGGGCTAGGCCAAAGCCGAGACCCTGGAACCCCATCTGGGTTTCCCATATGGGTAGCGGGACCAACATCTGCTGCCTCCCAAGATGTGTGTTAGCAGGAAGCTGGTTTGGAAGCGGAGATGGGACTTGATCCCCAGCACTCTGATATAGGATGTGGGCATCCAAAGCCAAGGTTAACCCTCTGTGCCACAACGCCTGCTCCAAAAAAGTGTTTCAGAGCTAATATTAGTCAGGAGCAGTAGGGCCTGTGAGTGAAGAGCCCTAGACTAAAATTTAGGTTATGTGATGGACTACTAGGAGTAATCCTCTTTAATGTTTGGGGGAGTGACTGAGGCCTGAATTAGTAAAGCGTCTGAATAGTAGCATTAGGTGAGTCCATTGTGTGGTTGTTAAAGAAAACCTGCATGATCCAGATCTCTCCCTTCAGTCGTTCGATCTGTGAGGACAGCAGGTGCAGAACTGAGTAATGAGAATAAGGCAGAGACGTAGATGCTCTAGTAACACAGTGAAGGAAATGTCAAGGGGAAATCTGATTTTGTTTTAGAGGAAGATGGCGTAGGCTGTGTTTTAGCAATGAGGAAAGGCTCTCGGGAACAGGATGGGCCGTGCTGGGGAGAGGCACCGAGGCCTGGAGATCACCAGCCATTCCAAGGGAAGTGAAGGGCGCTGTTGACCAGCTCGGGACGGGACAGGGGACAGGAGGCAGAGGGGCCTTGGGTGCTGTGCTCAGGAAGCTGGGCTCCATCCCCTGGCAGAGCGATTTTTGACTTTCGTTGGCCAGGTACCCCTCTGAGAATCTTGCCGACCTCCACAGAGACACCTGTGCTTAGGCAGTGTTTTGCATGTAGACCTAAGAATTGAGAGAGGAGTGACGTCGCCTCAGTTTGAGCACATGATCTGACCTCCTGCCTTCGCCCCAGAGTTAGTGGCTTTCAAGTGTGGCTCCTCCCACTCCCCACTCTGAGAATTTCCACTGACGACTCCATCATTTCCCCCTGCACAGAAGTCTCTGCTTTCCTAAGCTCCCTGTTGGGCCACCTGGTCCCATCCTTGGCAGTATCTTACAGATCTCATACTTTCCGTCATCTCTAGTTTTCAGTTCCTCCTCTGCCACCCGGATCAGTGTTGTTAGAACACGTGTACGCAGATCTCCTGGAGACCCTGTTAGAATGGAGACGGGGGTCTGTGTTCTAGGGTGGCACCTGAGAACCTGCATTTCTGTCAAGCCCCCAGGTGATGCTCCTGCTGCCGGCACAGACACCACTGCGGCTCCCTGGTCTTTTAAATAAGACAGAAAACATAAAGCCCTTGCTCTGTCCTTGCTAAGTTCCTTGGAAGTTAGTCTGCCCATCGCTGATTTGTTCTCCATTGCCCTCTGCTTCCCGGCTCCCAGTGAGAAGTTTCCTATCCAGCCATGACTTGTGAAGCTCTTTGGAATTCACCAGCGACCTTTTACCTGCTGACTCGGTTAGGTGGCCATCGTATCTGACCCCTCTGCGTGCCTTCCCCGCACCCTCACTCTGGGCTTCTCCAGTGCAGCTCTGGCTCTCCCTTTTCTGAAGGCTCCCCGCTCCCCCATCGCTCCTGTGTCTTCGTTTCTCTGCCTGTGCTTGAGCGATGCCCGGATGGCAGCCCTTTTCCTCACCACCAGGTCTGCCTCCGCATTGGCCGTCTAGAGGTCAGCAGAGCCCTCAAACACGGAGTATGTGTGCGTGTGGGGGGGGAGGCTGACCTAGTGTAAACGGCTAATGCTGGAGTCGACACTGCAGGGGCGCTGTCTGCGTTGCTCTCCCTAAGGTCTCACCCAGCTGCTTCTGCTCGCAGCCCCAGGCCCCCTCCCAGCTCAGGCCGTCTTCTAGGTGCACATGTTGTCGTCCGGAAACAAAGCTGAGCCTCTGACAGCGAGAAGCTCTTCACCGCGGCTGGCGGGAGGGCAGCGGATGCCCTCACCACCCCTCCCTCTGCGCCCCCTCTGACTGTCGCTGTGACCCCAGCGTTCTCATTCACTCCCCGCTGCCACTCTGCTAACGTCGCTGGTTTTCAGGAAAAAAAGCTTGGTCATTTTATTCCTCTGCTTGGAAATTTGCTGATTTTCTAGTACCTGGAGTCAGGTCAGACCTGAAGACCATTTGCAGGCTCCCCAGGGCGAGGCTGTCAGCTGTCCCCTCTGTGGCATTCGTAGGAGCTTGGTCTCTGCTGTCACTCCGTGTGCTTGTCAGCGGTGACCCACATCAGCCAGCACAGTGCCCAGCGGACTCAGTGTCGGATAGATGGGTGCGGAAATGAGATAAAGGAGGATCAAGTTTTTGTTGATGATTTTTTTCTTTTTGATGTGAGAACAGCTGAAAAGCAGGCCCAACGTCTCTGTCCCCTTTGCTTAAAGATCTAGCAGCCGCTGTTGGTGGAACGCTGTGGCTGTGTCTCTTCTCACCTTGCATGCCTGCAATGCTTTTGCAGAGTTCCATCTCCGGGGTGACTGCTGCATACAATCGAGAACAGCTGTGGCTGGCCAACGAGGGCCTGATCACCAAGCTGCAGGCCTGCTGCCGCGGGTACCTGGTGCGACAAGAATTCCAGTCCAGGATGAACTTCCTGAAGAAACAAATCCCTGCCATCACCTGCATTCAGGTATCTCAGAGCCCGTCACACAGGCAGCAGGGGGGCTTCTAGAGCAGGCTGAATAAACTGGCGTCTCTCACCTTGGAGTGTCCGAGTGTGGTTTTTTCTTCTTTTTGACTTCTGACCTCATTGTCTGGTCTTCTGACGAGTACCTGCTGCTTTACTAACGCTGCCATCAGACTGTGCTTTCTGGAGCTTGGTCCTCGGGCTCCTCTTCCTGTCTTCCACGACTGTGCCCTTGTGTAAGATTTGAACCCTCAGAGACAGCGAGAGGTTTGTTAGTGCACTGTCATGGCACGAATGCTGAGTTGGGGATTAGGGCTGCGGTGCCCCCAGAGTGGGGACTCTGTTTCCTCTCTGTGCAACAGGGATCTGCTCTTGGCTTGCCTGGAATGGTGCATGGTGGTGCTGAGGACAGGGGAGTGAGAGTCAGCCCTTGTGTTCCAGTAGAGGGACAGCCCCTGCCCTTGTTCCCCCGGCCCTGCTGGGCATGGTCCTGGGTAAAGCTCCATCGTGAATTTGCGCTGGGCTAACACGAGAGCCTGGATGAGGTTTTGTTCTGACTTTGGCTGATCTTTGGGAAATGTCTGACGGTTGCAGTCACAGTGGAGGGGATACAAGCAGAAGAAGGCGTACCAGGACCGGCTGGCCTACCTGCGCTCCCACAGAGATGAAGTTGTGAAGGTACGGCCACCGAGCAGGCTTCCCGGTGTGGGGAGCAAGGGTGACGTGCAGCGTGCAGGGCCCTGCTGACTCCTAGGTTCTCTTTCTGCAGATCCAGTCCCTGGCAAGGATGCACCAAGCCAGAAAGCGCTATAGAGATCGCCTCCAGTATTTCCGAGACCATGTACGTACCCACCTGGGGCTGTCAGTTTGGCTGTATTTCTGATGGGCAGATGAGCAAAGGAATTTCTCTGTTTTTGTCCTGTAGATCGATGACATCATCAAAATCCAGGCTTTCATCCGGGCAAACAAAGCTCGTGACGACTACAAGACTCTCAGTGAGTAACTGGCTCAGCAGCGAGGAGCTGAGGTGTGGTTGAACACCACCAGGTTGTGGGTATTCTCGGTGGATCTCTTGTTGTCCTGAAGGCAAGGCCTAGGTAGGGTGCTGCTTGTGAGTGAAGCCCCTTTGCTGACGCCTGGCTGATGTCTGGTTGCTAGCTGTGTTGACAGCATGACCAAGAAGGCCGTCCTTGATGGCTGTCTTAGCACATCTCAGAAGAGAACAGAACCTTGGGTGTGAAGAGAGCTACTTTTTTCAAGACAGTTCTGATATGAGGATCTTGAGAAAGTTCATGGAAATGTGTAGTACGAAAAAAACTCATAGATTTCAAAACTTTTTTCACCAAAATAAATTCATCTCTGCATCTCATTTTCCATGAACTTTTTGAAGTGCCCTCGTGTTTCCTGAGACTTAGAAGTTTTTCTGGCAACTCTGTTCTTTGTCTGATGCGTGTTTTCTTTCTGTCAGTCAACGCCGAGGACCCTCCCATGATCGTGGTCCGGAAGTTCGTGCACTTGCTGGACCAGAGCGACCAGGATTTCCAGGAGGAGCTCGACCTCATGAAGCTGCGAGAGGAGGTGATCACCCTCATTCGCTCCAACCAGCAGCTGGAGAACGACCTCAACCTCATGGACATCAAAATCGGGCTGCTGGTGAAGAACAAAATCACGCTGCAGGTACGGCCCGGCGCGGGGGCCCGGAGCTGCCACAGGGAGGCTGAGGCTCACTTGCTTCTCAGCTCATGCCATAAATTATTTTTTTTATTTATAGAAGAAATAAAACAATTTTATAAAATTTTAGGCAGAGAAAAGAAGATGAGAATTCTCCCCTAACTCCAGCATCTGACAAGCATCTTGTGTGTGTGTATTTTTTTTTAAGATTCATTTATTTATTTGAAAGGCAGAGTTACACAGAGAGAGGAGAGGCAGAGAGAGAGAGATCTTCCATCCACTGGTTCATTCCCCAATTGGCCTCAACGGCCAGAGGTGGGCCGATCCGAAGTCAGGAGCCAGGAGCCTCCTCCTGGTCTCCCAAGGACTTGGGCCCTCTTCCACTGCTTTCCCAGGCCATAGCAGGGAGCTGGATTAGAAGTGGAGCAGCCAGGACCCGAACCACCACTCATACATCTGTTGGCGCTTCAGTCCAGGGTGTTAACCTGCCGCACCACAGTCTTGGCCCCTGAAAGGCAGAGTTATAGAGGCAGAGGCCAAGGCAGAGAGAGAGAGAGAGAGAGAGAGAGAGAGGTCTTCCATCCACTGGTTCACTCCCTACACGGCTACCAAGGCCAGAGCTGGGTCGATTTGAACCCAGGAGCCAGGAGCCTCCTCCAGGTCTCCCACAGGAGGGCAGGGGCCCAAGGACTTGGGCCATCTTCCACTGCTTTCCCAGGCCATAGCAGAGAGCTGGATTGGAAGTGGAGCAGCCAGGACTCGAACCACCGCCCATACAGGATGCCGGCCCTGCAGGGAGTGGCTTTACCTCTTACGCCACAGCGCCAGCCCCAGTAAACTGTTTTTACTTCATATTATAGGATGCAACTCTTATATATAGTCATAAATCTAATAATTTTTTATTTAAATTTTTTTTATTTGATAGAGCCAGGGAGAGTACTCTCATTTGCTGATTCACTCCCCCAAAAGCCCACAACAACCAGGGCCGAAGCCAGGAGCCAAGAACTCAATCTGGGTGTTCCATATGGTGGTAGAAACCCAGTCACCACCACTGCCTCCCAGGGTTTGTGTTGGGAAGCTGGAGTCAGGAGTCAGAGCCAAACATCAGACCCAGGCAACCCAGTGTGGAATGTGGGTGTCTTAACCACGCCCCATAAATGTTATTTTAAATTTTTAAATTTATTTTAGAGTTCTTGCCTGGGGCTGAAGTCCATCCAGGGCTCATGTGATAGGATAAACCCAATGACTTGAGCCATCACCACTGCCTCCCAAGATCTCCATTACCAGGGCACGGAATGCATGCACTCTGCTGTGGGATGCGTGGGGCCCAGTGAGTGTCTCAACCACTAGGCTGAATGCTTGCCCCCAAATAATGTTTTTAATGGCAGCATAATAATCTGTTAGATTGTCACTTTTCCTTCCTGCAATTTGACTTTTAGATTGTTTTCTGAGTTTTTATTGGAAATAAAATCGCGGTTGATAGCTCCATGTATTTACTGTAGTTAAGACTTGGTTTTAAGACAGAGACCTAGGCCGGCGCCGCGGCTCACTAGGCTAATCCTCCGCCTAGCGGCGCCGGCACACTGGGTTCTAGTCCCGGTCCAGGCGCCGGATTCTGTCCCGGTTGCCCCTCTTCCAGGCCAGCTCTCTGCTGTGGCCAGGGAGTGCAGTGGAGGATGGCCCAGGTGCTTGGGCCCTGCACCCACATGGGAGACCAGGAAAAGCACCTGGCTCCTGGCTCCTGCCATCGGATCAGCGCGGTGCGCCGGCCGCGGTGGCCATTGGAGAATGAACCAACGGCAAAGGAAGACCTTTCTGTCTCTCTCTCTCACTGTCCACTCTGCCTGTCAAAAAAAAAAAAAAAAACACAGAGACCTAGAAGTTGGTGTCCTGAGTCAGTGGACGTGTTTGTGGCTCAAGGTGTTCATGGGAAGATTGAAGCGGGAATGAGCTGGATTGTTGTGACGGAAGCAGGCCAGAATGCAGCAGCTGGGAACTGTTTAGCGAGACCCTACCAATGCAGTGGGCCTCCACAGGCGCCAGCAGGCCTCTCCACGGTGCTCAGGGCTCTATCTTTGACAGTGTTCTGATCTCTGTGTTGGGTTTCATTTCCAGGATGTGGTTTCCCACAGTAAAAAACTTACCAAAAAAAATAAGGAGCAGTTGTCTGATATGATGATGATAAATAAGCAGAAGGGAGGCCTCAAGGCTTTGAGCAAGGAGAAGAGAGAGAAACTGGAAGCTTATCAGCACCTGTTTTATTTATTGCAGGTAAGTGGCTCCTGGAATTGGTGTTGTCAAACTTAATTTACTTTTCCCCAAGGAAACCTAACTGATCTGTCTAGCAATATTTCTGATACCCACTGAGGGGTATGTGAGGGGCTGCCTTATTTTCTTTATGGGTGTTCTGACTGTTCAAGTTAAAAAATGTATATATTTTTACCAATTTTATGTTACAGTTATGCCTTGCTTAGTGAGAAGAGCGTGATCTGAGGAGTGTGTTGCTAGGCAGTTTCGTCGTTATGCAAACACAGTGTGCTCACGCAAATCTGCACACAGGCAATCACTCAGTGAGGTCTTTTTTTTTTTTCTTAAGTGTTATTTATTTATTTATTTGAAAGGCAAAGTGACAAAGAGATCTTCCTTCTACCGGTATCCTCCCCAAATGGCCACTATAGCCAGGACTGGGCTGGGCTGAACTCAGGGTCTCCCACATGGGTGGTGGGGGCCCAAGCACTGGGGCCATCATCTGCTGCCTCCCAGGGGCATTAGGAGAAGCTGGATTGGAAGCAGAGCAGCTGGAACTAGAACCAGCACTCTGCTACGAGATGCTAGTGTTGCGAGTAGCACCATGCCACAACGCTAGCCCCTCAGTGTGGCCTTTTGATTTGAATTCGAGAACACGTGAAGCTGCTGCCCCCTTCACGGCATCCTGTTGCACCATAAGCTTACGATCAGCCACCAGGAAGGAGTACACTCTGCTGCAACAGGAAGAGGTCTGCCGTGAATACAGACAGTAACACAGTTGTTTATGGTCACCACTGAGTGTCCCATCCTGCCTATGATCGTATGTGCTGTACTTTCATGGGACTGCATTGAAGTGGGTGGTCTTATCCTGGCAGCACCGGTAACATGTGAGTCGTATATTGTGCTGTGATCTTTCCTCGTCTGTGCCGTCACCAGGCAGTGGGACGTTCTCAGCTCTGTCTTAATCTCACTGGAACACCATTGTGTATATGGTCTGTCATAGACTGAAATGTGATTATGCGGCACACGTGTACGAAGCAGTCACTCATCCCTGGGTTTTGTTGCAGACCAACCCCACCTACCTGGCCAAGCTGATCTTTCAGATGCCCCAGAATAAGTCCACCAAGTTCATGGACTCTGTGATCTTCACACTCTACAACTACGCGTCCAACCAGCGGGAGGAGTACCTGCTCCTGCGGCTCTTTAAGACGGCTCTCCAGGAGGAAATCAAGTAGGAGCAGATTTCTGCAGAGTGCGGGGCGGGGCGCAGGCCTGCCTGCACCTCTCCTTGATGTCAGTAAATCCGTGAGGGAGACTCACTCCGAAGAAGCATCCACTCTTAAAATTACCGATTTAAAGTGTTGCTGCTTCTGGAGTAGAGGTAGAATCAAAGATTTGCCGGATTGACCCTAGGAAGGTTGCCTGTTAAGGTATCGTGGCAGACTCAGCTGATCGAGACGTGCGGGTTCTGCGTGTTTCTTTAACACAGGGCCTGAGCGTGACTCCATGAAGAGTGTGGCTGCAGGAAGGCCCTCCAAGTGCCGGGTGGTGTATCTGGAGAGACTCAGGCTCTCTGAGCTCATGGATCCCCCATTAACTTACACGCAATCTGTATCTGCTGTTTTATAGGTCGAAGGTGGATCAGATTCAAGAGATTGTGACCGGAAACCCTACGGTTATTAAGATGGTTGTAAGCTTCAACCGTGGTGCCCGGGGCCAGAATGCCCTGAGACAAATCTTGGCCCCTGTTGTGAAGGAAATTATGGATGACAAATCTCTCAACATCAAAACAGACCCGGTGGATATTTACAAATCTTGGGTTAACCAGATGGAGTCTCAGACAGGGGAGGCAAGGTATGGTACCCATAACACTTTTCCTTTCACGGTTTTCTTGTTTTTATTCTTTTTTATTTTTTTTAAGTGAAAATCACCACCAACTAATAATCGCTCCAGTAGTTTCCTTAGAAAACTGTTCTTTAAAATTGCTGGCCCAGGCTGGTGCTGCGGCTCACTTGGCTAATCCTCTACCTGCAGCGCCGGCACCCTGGGTTCTAGTCCCTATTGGGGCACCCGGTTGTGTCCCGTTGTTCCTGTTCCAGTCCAGCTCTCTGCTGTGGCCCGGGAGTGCAGTGGAGGATGGCCCAAGTGCTTGGGCCCTGCACCCATATGGGAGACCAGGAGGAAGCACCCGGCTCCTGCCTTCGGATCGGCACAGCGCGCCCACCACAGTGCGCCGGCCGTGGCAGCCATTTTGGGGGTGAACCAACGGAAAAGGAAGACCTTTCTCTCTCTGTCTCTCTCTCTCTCACTGTCCACTCTGCCTGTCAAAAAAAAAAAAAAAAAAATTGTTGGCCGGTAATGAATGCATTTCCTTAGCCAATACTTGCTGTTACTGTGTGCCAGGCCCTGTGTTAGTGACACGTGCAGTGATGCAGTCAGTGGGGGCGCATCCAGGGATGTGTGCTGCCTGCCCTCTTAATAGATTAGCAGGTGGGAAACAGCAAACAGGCACATAAAAATACAGCATAATTACGAATTGAGGGGAGCTTTATGTAGGGTATTGCAACAGAGTGCAGGAGGGAGCTGATGTGGGTAGGGTGCTTAGGGGAGAGCCTGTGTGAGGCCTGCATGGTGGGGTGGGGCTGGCCCTGCTCGCTGATCGCTGGGTGCTGATTGCTGGGTGCTGAGTGCTCTAAGGTGGAGAATTAAGGACGTGCAAAGACCCTGGCCTGACCAGAGATGGTCATACAGCTCGAGTGAGATCACCGTGCTCCTTCAGTCTGGGGTAACGGCCTGCTGCCCTGGAATCCTGACAGTCGGACCAACATAGTCAGTTACAGGAGATCGCTGTGCTAGGCCGTGGTTCAACCACCAAGATTAACACCAGAAGCAAAGGTGTGGCTGTATGTGAGGCTGGGATAATTGTGTTCAGAGAGCCTCAGCGTTTCTGGTTTTCTTCTGTGTGGGCGAGGAACAGAGAGGTGAGCTTGGTGAGTGGTGTTTTTCCCTGGGAAGTTGGGTTAGCTCATGCTTGCAGCCCTCTGGAGCTTAGGAGTGGCTGTCCACGCCATCGCCCTGCGAAGCTTAGTTTGCAGAGCCGTGCAGAGCGCCGTCTGTGTCACTGGCGCGCGGTTTGGTTCAGTGATGTTTTCTCTGTGTCAAGGCTTTCTCAGCAGAGGAGGCGACACGTTGACTTACGTTCTGACCCAGTCTCCTTATCATGTCTTTGACTGGTCTTTATTTTTTTTTTTAAGATTTATTTATTTGAAAGTCAGAGTTACACAGAGAGAGGAGAGGCAGAGAGAGAGAGAGAGAGGTCTTCCATCTGATGGAATCCTCAATTGGCCTCCAACGGCCAGAACTGTGCTGATCCGAAGCCAGGAGCCAGGAACTTCTTCCAGGTCTCCCATGCGGGTGCAGGGGCCCAAGGACTTGGACCATCTTCTACTGCTTTCCCAGGCCATAGCAGAGAGCTGGATTGGAAGAGTTGCAGCCGGGAGTTGAACCAGTGCCCATATGGGATGCCGGCGCTTCAGGCCAGGGCGTTAACCCGCTGGGCCACAGTGCCGGCCCCCAACTGGTCCCTAGACTGACATTGGCCCGCACTAGTGCTGCTCCGCTGCACCCTGGGGAGAGAGCAGAGCGTTCTGCTCACTTCTGGAAGGACTTATCCCTGTAAGGAATCATTGGGCATCCAAGTTGGTTCCAGAACTCTGTAAGCTTGTCACCGGGAGTCACATCATTGGTGGACATGATACAACAGTTTTTGGCCTGCACACATTTGGCCTACCTCCCGAATGTGGTCAGCCCACGGCAGTACTCACCTGGGAGGTTTTACCTGCAACCCAGGGCATCCCTAGACAATAGCAGTGTGGACGCTGGCTCACGGCTACTGCATTATTTCCTTTGAAGGCCCAGGAGTCTGTTTTTAGACCAGAATTCCATGGGACATTTCAGGGTGTTTTTTCTTGGTAATGCCTGTAAGAAACTGGTGTCGTCTTTTCCTTTTTGTAAAATGGAGATGAATTTTAATAACTAGACATAGTTATGTCTATTTATTTATTTGAGAGGCAGAGAGAGAGAATGAGAGCAAGCCAGCTCCCATCTGCTGGTTCACTCTGCGTGTGCCCGCACCAGTCTGAGGCCAGGCCTTGCCGCCAGGATCTGAGAACTCCATCCAAGTCGCCCACATGGGTGGCAGGGACATACCCGCTTGAGCCATCACCACCAACTCAGGGCGTGCATTAGCAGGAAGCGGAGTCAGGAGCTGAAGTTGAGGATTGAACCTAGGTACCCTGCTGAGGCTTCTTAGCTGCCAGACCTAACATCAGTACTTCCTGGGTGTCGCTGACAGGGCGTGGCGGTGTGCTGGGAGCCTGTAAGCACACGGTGTCGGGTGCCGGACCGGCCTCCTTTACCTTGCACATCACACACATGGAATCTCAAAAAACTGAATATTCTAGTCTCTGACTACAGCCGTTCCTGTCATACCTTTAGCTTGTTAGGACTTTTTTTTAGATGTTATACACATGATGTCAATATAAATTTTAGTGATATGATAGGTGTATAGCACACAACTTATAAATAATAAAATACACAATACTCTTGACTACAGGTTTCATATAGCCAGTTGTTTGTCACGGAGTGTTTTTATTGATGTTTGCTGGATTCATGGATTCATAGTTTACTGAGATTATGATTCTGCTGCACTGTGACAAATGGAGCTGGCTCCCTGTCTGCTTGTCCCCGTCTCCAGGGGGCTGCTACACAAGCCTCTCCAACGCGGGTGACTTTCGCACCACAGAACTTTGTTCTCCCAGTTCTGCAGTCCAGCCGGGCCCTCCCCTCCCCCGGCCCCTTTCCCCTATGGCCTCTGTGGTGACGTGGCATCCCCGCTCCCAAATCCCTTGCCACCGCTCTCCGGTGAGGCTGCCCTGGCTGGGTTCGGGCCCACCTGGCTCATCCAAGATGATCCCTCCTCTCTGAAGTCTCAGACGCTCCGTCTCCACGTTTCGCTTCACTTCGTCGCCCTCTCTGTGTCCTGTCTGTCCTTGTGCCGGTTCCTTCTGACCAGCTCGGTCCCTCCCCTGAGAGAAGCTGCACTTCCTGCCCGTGATGGGCTCTTCCCTTGCCCGTGTCCAAAGGGTTGCCAGCCCCATTGTGACTCCTTGATGTCTGCCCGGTCTCCTTTCTGTGGTTTCCACTGCTACATCTTTCTTCATGCCCATATCATTTCTGAGGCGGAGATAGAGAGAACTTCCGTGTGTTGGTTCATTCTGCAAATGCCTGCAGTGGCTGGATTTGGGCTGGACAAAACCATGAGCCAGGAACTCGGTGTGCGCTCCTGTGTGAGTGGCAGGAACCCGACGACTGCTGCTGCCCAGGATCTGTGGTGGCAGGGAGCTGATTCCTGGGGCCGAAGCTGGGAATCAGACCCAGGCACTCCTGTGTGGGATGCAGACATCTTTATTTATGTATCTTTCTAAGATTTATTTATTTGTTTAGAAATTCAGAGTTAGGGAGATAAAGGTATCTTCCATTTGCTGGTCCTCTCCCCAGATGACCACAATGGCCAAAGCTGGGCCAAGCCGAAGCCAGGAGCTTCATCTGTCTCTCACGTGGATGTTAAGGGCCCAAACACTTGGGCCATCTTTTGCTGCTTCCCCAGGCACATTAGTAAGGTGCTGGATTGGAAGTGGAGCAGCCGGGACACGAACTGGCACACAAATGGGATGGTGGCATTGCAGGCGGCAGCTTCACCAACCACGCCACGAAACAGACATCTTAACCGTGATGCTAAATACCTCTTCTGCCACCCCTTTCCATCATTTTTTTACATTTTTCTGATTTATTTTCATTTTATTTGAAAGGCAGAGAGAGAGATCTCGCATGCCCTGGTTCACTCCCTAAATGCACGCAATAGCCAGGGCTGAGGCAGGCCCAAGCCAGGAGTCCAGATTCAGTCCAGGTCTCCCACGTGGGAGCACGTGAGCCACCCTCTGCTGCCTCCCAAGGTGCACGTGAGCAGGAAGCTGGATGGAAAGCAGAGGAGTTGGGGCTCAAACCAGGCGCTCCCGCGTGGGATGCAGATGCCTGCGGTGACAGCCACACGCCGCACCAGTACCCTGCACCCAGTCTTGACCAGCTGAGGCACCAGTCTCCCTCCTGTCTCGTCTCAGACTTGTCCGTCTGTAATTCAGAGCAAGCTTCCTGAAAACACAGGTCTCTTAACTTGCGATGGCTCTGCGGGCTTGTAGAAAAAGCCAGACCTGTTAGCATCTTAGACAGGACCTTCCATGGCTCGGTCCCAGTTTGCTTTTCCACTCCGGCATCTCTCCTTGCTTTCCTTCCTTTGCGTTTGACCTGCCTTCCGGGGGGCACTGTCTCTCCACTTCCTGAGTTTGGGTGTCCCTTCCTTTTGGAACTCTTCCTTCCTTCTCCAGTCTGAGTATAAGCCCTCCCTGTTGTCCTGCAGCACTGGTGCCGGCTGTTTGCTGACAGCACAGTGTGTTTATTATCTGTGTCTCTCCCACCAGACAGTAAGCCTACTACAGTGCCTGGGCACATCGCTCGAGGCACCCAGTTCCCACTCTGATGCTCATTTGAGTCCTGCTGCTCCAGGGAAAGCAGCAGAAGGTGGCCCAAGTGCTTGAGCCCCTGCCACGCTCATGGGAGACCCAGATGGAGCTCCAGGCTCCTGGCTTTGACCTCACCCAAACCTGGCTGTTGTGGCCATTCGGGGAGTGCACCAGCGGTGGAAGATATTTTTCTCTCTGTCTTTCCCTCCCTCTCTGTTACACTGCCTTTCAAATAAATAAATCTTTAAAAAAAAGTCGTCTAACTTCAGATTCTAGCCTGCCCCACTCCCAGGTCTGTGAGCGTGGGCCCAGCTCCCCGTCTCCGGGGTTTCTGTGTGAGAGATGCGTTCCTGCCTGCTGTCCTGCTGTTCTGACACAGCGGGGACTCTGTCTTCCCAGCAAACTGCCCTACGACGTGACTCCCGAGCAGGCTCTGGCTCACGAAGAAGTCAAGACCCGGCTCGACAACTCCATCAGGAACATGCGGGCCGTGACCGACAAGTTCCTGTCGGCCATCATCAGCTCCGTGGACAAAATCCCGTGAGTGCCAGCGGCTGGTGTGACCCCAGGGGCAGCCGGGCACCAGCGCCCTCTTCCGCCTCTCACTGGTTTCTGTCCGTCTCACAGTTACGGGATGCGCTTCATTGCCAAGGTGCTGAAGGACTCGCTGCACGAGAAGTTCCCCGATGCTGGTGAGGATGAGCTGCTGAAGGTGAGAACGTGAGAGCCGGCAGGTTCCTGCCCCACCTCCCACCCCCCACCCCCCCGCCCCCGGCCAAGTAGCCCTTTGAGGAAAAGCTGTGAAGCCAGGCCTGACCCTGGACCGTTAGTAAGTGCCTGAGTGTGGGTTCTGGCAGTAGCTCGCCGTTGACTGGGAGTTTTTAAAGGAGTTGTTCCTATGCAATTTGGCACACACACAAGTGGAGGAAGAGGGATTTTTCCTGCCTTGAGTTAAATTCCTGTCTTTCGCTGAAGAGCTGCTCCCTCTGCTGGTGGCCGGGTGAATAGCGGCGGGCACAACTTTCTGCTGAGGCTGCTGCTGGTGACTTTCTCAGCTGTGCTCCTCTCTCTCTCTAATCTGAACGCTCTTTTCTTCTCTCTCCTAGTTCTGTGCTTTCCTACAGTGAGGCCTCGGTTCTAGACTTTCTGTTCGTTCAGGTGAATTCATTTTATTTTTTCTGAATGAAACACCAGGGGAAGTGCTGTGACTGTCCTTGAGTCTTTCTGCGGGAGAGATGTGTGTTGCGTGGGTCCCAGGCATGAGCTGGGCCTCTGGGAGCCACAGCATGGGGGGGTGGGCTGCCGGGCGGTTGCACTTTGCTCATCGGGCTGTGCTGCAGGGTGTGCATCAGTAGGGGGAGCCCACCCGGGTGGAAGGAATGAGTTTCCTGGGCAGCACGGCGCTGATGTGTGAACAAAGGGTGCCCTGAAACCTTGGAGGGCACACTTTGAGTCTGTCTTGCCTTCCGAAGCTGCCCTTGCGTGAATTACCAGTCAGTCCTGTTCCCATCCCCCCTTCCCTTCTCCCATCTGACAGAGGGATATCTGGTGGTTTTAGTTCCAAGCTGTAAGGGGAAGTATGTGTGCATGCATGCATGTTGTATGTGCATATTTTTATTTATTTTTTTCCTCACAGGACTGCATTTTCTGTTTTTGTTGTGGTGGTGGTGGTTGTTAGCAAAGTAGTTTGTGGCTTGCCCAGTGGTGTAGTTTTTAATATCCACCTTTCTGCTTGCCCTCTTCCCAGATTATCGGTAACTTGCTTTACTATCGGTACATGAACCCGGCCATCGTCGCTCCCGATGCCTTTGACATCATTGACCTGTCGGCAGGGGGCCAACTCACCACAGACCAGCGCCGAAATCTGGGCTCCATTGCCAAGATGCTCCAGCACGCAGCTTCCAATAAGATGTTTCTGGGAGATAACGCCCACTTAAGCATCATTAACGAGTACCTTTCGCAGTCCTACCAGAAATTCAGGTAAGGGGAGGCGGGTGTCGTGTGGGCGTTTTCCCTCGGAGGGGGAAGACGAGGCGAGATCCCACCCAGCGCATGTGGGAGGCAGAGCTCACGGGCACGGGCTCCTGTGTGGCCGGAGGTGGCGTGTCCACACGGCAGAGGACTTCACACAAAAGCAGTGACTACACATTAGGCACCTGTTACTTTGCAACCAGAGAGAGCCATTGGATATGTATTCGTTAACAGTTAGTGTTGCAATCTATGCCTCAGAGCACTACCTTGGAGATAAATGGCCCGGATGTCTGAGAACAGTTGAATGATTCTTGTGAGTAGAACTACACTAGGTGAAGAGAAGTTTCTAGAACCTGTGTCCCAAAGCTGTCTATGTGAGCAGCCATTTGTCTGGAATGGGTACCCTCACTGGCTTCTGTTTGCCGGATGCGGGGCTGGTGGGCGTCTTCTGGCCTGCAGCTCCTGCGTCTCAGTGTGGGGGCTGCCTCCTGTGCTTGATTGCAGACGATTCTTCCAAACTGCTTGTGACGTCCCGGAGCTTCAAGATAAATTTAATGTGGATGAGTACTCTGACTTAGTAACTCTCACCAAACCGGTTATCTACATTTCCATTGGTGAGATCATCAACACCCACACTGTAAGTATCTTTCTTTAATTATTTAATCTCTCTGCTCTGTGCTTAATTACCTTTCCTGGCTGCTGCCTACCACCTCTGGTGGCCAGGCATCTCACCTAGCCGTGATCTTAATGGCACCTGTTGTCTTTCTTCCTTTGCTCATTGTTCTTAACATTGTCTGCAAGTTATCCCCAGGGCTGCTAGTTCAAGGTCAAGTTTCCCGGGCCCCACTCCCAGCTCCCTGACTCAGGATCCCCCAGAGTCTCCCTTGTGAGCGCTGATCTATGGACTTGAAAATCTGTTTTTCCCCTTTTTACTTAAGCCCTCTGTGTTGTTTTCTAACAGGATCTGGAATAGTAACTCCCTTGGAGAAGTGTTTCCCCTGAAAGCTGTTCCTTTGGGTTTCTAAAATGATGTGCTCCCGTCCCAGCGAGGGGTGGGGAGCAGGGAGCGAGGCATACTTGGAGTGGAATTTCCAATGCCCAGCTCTGAGGGCACTGCCTGGGCCCATGGCTCCTTGGAGGCTTTGTGCGGGCCCCTGCGTAAGGCAGCATTGCCCCGGTGTCCCTCTGAGCTAAAGCTGCACGCTGGGAGCAATCGCGACGTCTCAGTATGCGTCATGCGAACTGGCGGTAGCAGGGCACAGGGCGCACAGGCGACTTTGAGCACTTTGTTCTTAAGATTTGGTTTCTTTATTTGAAAGCGCAGGGTTTCAGAGATCTTCCGTCCCTTGCTTCGCTTCCCAAATGGTCGCGACAGCTGGGGCTGGGCCAGTCCAAAGCCAAGAGCCAGGAACTCCATCCGAGTCTCCCACATACTTGGCAGAGGTCCTAGTCCTTGGCCCATCTCCACTGCTTCTCCAGCCACATTAGCGTTGGCTGGATTGGAAGCGGAGCAGCCAAGATGGGATGCTGGCGTCTCGGGCTGCGGCTGCACCGCAGCACTGGGCCCAACGTGGGGTAGTGAAGCCTGAGGGTCTGCTCCACTCCGCTCCGTCTGAATGCCATATGGCCGCGAGGTTGAGAGAGTGCCAGTATTTCCTCTCCCTGTGTGGTAACGGGACACCAGCAGGGCACACGGTGGTGCTCTCGGGTCACGTTGGCTGGGCCCGCTTGCTGAGGTGAGGGTTGGTTTGTCCGTTCTTTGGACGAGGAAGCTCAGCACTCAGGGAGGGGCTGGGCGCGAGGACTGAGGACGCGAATGGACTGATGGTTGGTTTTGGACGCAGCTCCTGTTAGATCACCAGGACGCCATCGCCCCGGAGCACAATGACCCGATCCATGAGCTGCTGGACGACCTTGGCGAGGTGCCCACCATCGAGTCCCTGATAGGTAAAGTTCTGAGTCTCTGCACTGTCTCTGGATGTGCAGTGGAAAACAGAGACCACCCCTGTCTGGGAAGGGCTGCAGCCAGCGGGAGGGACGAGGTAAACGTGCAGTCACGGCTCGTCCTGTGACCGGTCCCGGAAGGGGAGGAGGCCTGGGGGAGCGCTGGGCCGCAGCGCCGACACGACTGAAGTTACTTTACCGTGTCTCCTTTGCCTTTATTACCTGGCGTAACATTTTACAAGACCTCTCAGGGAGGTTGCCCTGCCCTGCCGCGTGTGTCGGCTTGGTCGCCTGCCGTCCTCGGCTTGCGTCCTCTTCTGTTTGTGTTCTTTGCCTCCAGCGTCTCCTCTATTGATTCTTTCTGCCCTCCCAAAACTTCAGGGGAAAGCTCTGGCAACGTGAACGACCCGAACAAGGAAGGTCTGGCGAAGACGGAAGTCTCTCTCACGCTGACCAACAAGCTTGACGTCCCGGGAGACGAGAACGCAGAAATGGACGCCCGGACTATCCTGCTGAAGTGAGTATATCAGAAGCAGTGAGAGTCATGGTGACATTGTCCCAGAGGCCCCTTGGCCTTTGGTGACAGGCCCACTGGGTCCGACCTGAAAGGACCATCTCGGCCCCTCACCATCACAACTGTGGTTACGGTTACCTTGCGTATCTTACTCGGCATAGGACTTAACCACCTTGTTTTGCCAGTCTGCTAAAGTGAAGTTTACTGTTGTAAATACTGGCTCTGGGCCCACTCCACTGTACAGTGCAGTTGCATAAATAACCTAGGCCCTGAGTGCCTCGTGCGAGCAGCCGCCCGCTGGGACTCCCTGGGATGATGTTTGTGCCGCCGCCACCGCCGCCGCCGCTGCTGCAGTCACTGAACAGGGAGGGGAGCGCCCGCCAGCTGGTGTCTGAATGCTTCCCTCATCTCATTGCAGCACAAAGCGTTTAATTGTGGATGTCATCCGCTTCCAGCCAGGAGAGACCTTGACGGAGATCCTGGAAACACCAGCCACCAGTGAGCAGGTAGGGTTTGGGTTTGACATACACCACCGTGAAGCGGCTAACTCTCCTGTGACAGGCACGTGCCGGGTAGAGGGAGGCGAGATGGAGTGAGGAGAGCTCCTGGAGCAAGCGTGAACCTGCCCGGAGGATGGGGGTGGTTAGATCTGGTGTGAGCAAGTCCAGAGGAGATAGGTGTTCCTGGGTCTCCAAGCTCCTTGGCTGTCTCCAGCAGAGTGAAAGGGGGCGGGGCGTGGGTCTGTGACTCTAACCCGGGGCAGGATCAGTGAGTCCGTCCTGTAATTGATTGCCTACTGCAGAGTTGGAATTCTGTGTACCTTGGCAGATAGATGGAAAGTACAGAGGATGGTTCCTAAGCTCAGTGAGCTCTTGGCTCTTACTGGGGAAATGTGGCACGTAAACCTAACGCAGTGATAAAACCCATTAGAAATGTAAACCCGAAACAACGAGAAGACCATTAGAAATTAGTGATGGTGTTGACTGTGAAAATGACAGGGGATACAGGAAAGGCCAGGAGCAGCAGTGCTTCAGGAAGATTGCACAAGATGAGCGGGGCCTGAGCCAGACTTGACATGGGATGGGTAGGGCTTGAGTGTGCAGAGGAAGGGCATTCCAGGCCGGAGAGCCTGGCTGAGCCGAGGTGGAGAGGCGGGGAAGGCCCTGTGGCCAGACTACACCTAGAATGCGGTGTGCATGCAGGGGAGCGGTGAGGAACGAGACGTGAGGCAGGAATCTGGCACTGCAGCGTGAGAGCCTTTGGAAGCTTGGGGACCATTAGCAGTGAGGGATTCCAGTGCCACCCCTGCAGATGGCAGTTGGGTCAGCCAGGTGCGTGACACCAGTCCAGAGAAGGGTGCATGGCAGTGGGAAGGGTTGGGTGAGTCGCTTGGCTGCTAAGACACCTGTTTCTCATTGTCGAAGGAGAAAAGTAGTTTCCAGATATTAACCGTAGGACTCCGTTTCATTAAATGAAAACTTAGAAGCCCAATATGGAGAGCAGGTAAAGCTGCAGCTGCTCCGGCAGCTCCAGGACTGGGGCACCTGGAGCCCAGCCCTCGAGGGCTCTGGGAAGCCCCTAAGGCTGCACAGAGCACTGTTTGAAAGCCTCTCAGCCTTTGGATGCCGCACTGATTAGATGCGTGTGGGGGCGAGAACCTGCCTTCCCGTGACTGCAGCGTGCCGACCCAAAGCACGTGTGAGGCAGGGAAGGCGGAGCCGGTCCTTACTGAGAACCTACTGTCGGTTTCTTTTGTCCGTGCTCTTTCCTTTTATCTTGGCGGTATCCCTGTGAGGTGAGTCTTGTCATTCCCGTTCTATAGATAAGGAAACTGAGATCCTTATCCATTAAATAACTTGCCTGAGACCTACAGCTTGTAATGACAGATTCCAGCCCTGCCTGAGTCCAGAGCGTGTGCCCCTCGCATCGTGTGTGCGCAGTAGTGTTGATGTTAGAGGAGAGGGGACGACTGGGGAAGGGGGTTGTTCTAGTTGGGGAGGGATTACACGTTTGACCTGCAGCCACCCCAAACATCCCAAAATGCGGCAACAGAGCCTTAAAGATTGGGGTGGAGATCGTGGAAGCTACTGAAAGCAAGCAGAGACGAATGGCTTTTTTTTTTTTTTTTAAGATTTATTCACTTTACTTGAAAGTCACAGTTACACAGAGAGAAGGAGAGAGAGAGAGAGCTTCCATCCACTGGTTCACTCCCCATTGGCTGCAATGGCCGGAGCTGCGCCAGTCCAAAACCAGGAGCCAGGAGCTTCTTTCTGGGTCTTCCATATGAATGCAGGGGTCCAAGCACTTGGGCCGTCTTCTACTGCTTTCCCAGGCCACAGCAAAGAGCTGGATTGGAAGTGGAGCAGCCGGAACTCGAACCGGTGCCTGTATGGGATGCCGGCACTGCAGGCAACGGCTTTACCTGCTGTGCCACATCGCCTGCCCCCAGAAATGGCTTTGAGTGCCTTGGAAGTCCCAGCGTAGGCCTAGGGCGGAAAGAGAGTGCAGAGACTGTGAGCCAGGTGATGACTAAGAATAGATGCTGGGTTTGGGAGGTGGGAATGGGGATCATAATTAATGGTGAGAGCTTTAGATACAGAAGCCAGGTTGCAAAGGGTTAAAGAAGAAAATGCTAGAAGAATTGAGCAGCAGATGTACTGAAATGTTGGGTGGGAACAGAACAGGCTTTGGGTAGAGACTAAGACAGACTCGGGGCAGCTGTCCTTGTTCAGATCCTAGTGTTGGAGAGAGAGGAAGGCTTGAGTGTGACTCCGCTTGCACAAGGCAGCGAGAACAGCCAGCGAGGATTTGCTGAGCGCTGCTGCATTCGTGTAATTACCACCTTCTCGGAGCCATGTTTGAAACAAAATTAAATGGTTTTTGTGTTCCAATATTTGATAGGAAAATGAAGAAATTTTTAATCCAGTAAAATCTGGGAACTCCTGAGATGTTATATGATTTCGTGGATGTAACCTCTTTTTTTTTTTTTTTTTAAGATTTGTTTGTTTAATTGAGCGGTAGAGTTACAGACAGGGAGAGGCAGAGAGAGAGAGGTCTTTCATCTGCTGGTTCACTCCCTAAATGGCCGCAATGGCTGGAGCTGAGCTGATCCGAAGCCAGGAGCCAGGAGCTTCTTCAGGGTCTCCCACACTGGTCCGGGGCCCAAACACGTGGGCCATCTAACATTGTTTTCCCAGGACATAGCAGAGAGCTGGATCAGAAGAGGAGCAGCCAGGACTCAAACTGGCTCCCGTATGGGATGCCAGCACCACAGATGGAGGGTTAGCCCACTACTCCACAGTGCTGGCACCACCTCTTCTTCTTCTTCTTTTTTTCTTTTAACATTTATCATATTTATTCAAAAGGCACAGGGCTAGCCCTATGGTACAGTGGGTCAAAGCCTCAGCCTGCAGTGCCAATACCCCATATGGGCACTGGTTTGTGTCTCAGCTGTTCCACTTCTATTCGAGCTCTCTGCTATGGCCTGGGAAAGCAGTAGAAGATGGTCCAAGTCCTTGGGTCCCTGCACTCATGTGGGAGACTCAGAAGAAGCTCCTGACTCCTGGGTTTGGATCGGGACATCTCTGGCCATTGAGGCCATTTGGAGAGTGGGCCAGTGGATGGAGGACTTTCCTCTCTGTCTCTACCTCTCTCTGTAACTCTGTCTTTCAAGTAAGTAAAATAAATCTTTAAAAAAAAAAAAAGAAAGAAAGAAAGAAAAAGAAAAGAAAGAAAGGCATAGTTAGAGAAAGAGAGAGAAAGATCTTGCATCTGCTGGTTCGCTCCCCAGATGGCCACAATGGTTGAGGCCAGACCAAAGCCAGAGCCAGGAACTTCATCTGGGTTCAGAGGCCCAAGCCATCTTCTGCTACTTGCCCAGGCACATTAGCAGGGAGCTGGATTGGAAGTGGAACGGCCAGGACTCAAACTGGCACCCAAATGGGATGCTGGCATTGCAGGCGGTGGCTTAGCTTGGTACACCACAGCACTGGCCCCAGATATGACCTCTTCTGTGGGGGAGATCTGTCTTGGTTCCAGGATACAGCCTGAGAGCTGTCCTAGCTCCCGTGTGCACGTGCTAGGTAAATTTGAGTTTAGGAACACTGTGGGTCAGAAAGTGGTGGTGCAACAGGTTAAGCCATGGCCTGCAGTGCTGGCACCCCACATGGACACCGACTAAGTCCCAGCTGCTCTACTTCTGACCCAGCTCCCTGCTAATGCATCTGGGAAAGCAGCGGAGGATGGCCAAAGTCCTTGGGCCCCTGCACCCATGTGGGAGACCTGGAAGACTCTGGCCTGGCCCAGCCTTGGCCGCTGTGGCCACTGGGGAGTGAACCAGCAGATGGAAGATTTCTCTTGTTCTGTCTCTGTAACTCTGCCTTTCAAATAAATAAATAAATTTTTAAAAGAAAAAAAAATGGACCAGCGTGGCGAGCTTGTCATGCACTTCTTTTCTTTTTTTCCATCTGCAGGAAGCAGAGCATCAGAGGGCCATGCAGAGACGTGCCATCCGTGACGCCAAAACTCCTGACAAGATGAAGAAGTCAAAGTCTGTGCAGGAAGACAGCAACCTCACGCTCCAGGAGAAGAAGGAGAAGATCCAGACAGGCTTAAAGAAGCTCACGGAACTTGGGACTGTGGACCCAAAGAACAAATACCAGGAACTGATCAACGACATTGCCAAGGTAATGCATGGGGTGGGGGAGGCCAGATGGCCTGGCCTCCGGAGAGCTGTAGCAGGGGCTCCTAAAGAGACAGTCGCTGCGCAGGTCGTTTCGTATAACACAGGTTCGCCTCAGGCTGACCGTCAGGGCCTTGGTTTGTGTGAATCATCTCAAGCAAGGGCCCTGGTGTGGGCTGAGGGTTTAGGCGTCCTGTGCCATGTGTGCCCGCCCAGGAGCTTGGTGATGGACGTGTCAAACGTCCTTTTTCTCCCCCTCTTGATGACAGATCAAAGAGATCTAACCCAACTGTACAAGTAAATTCTAATGTTGTGGAAGTCTGAAAGTAACACATTCCCTGTTGCTGTAAGATATAAATGGGGGGAGGGGTTGATGATAAGAATTTCTTTATGAGTTTGTGGACCCAGATTGTTCCTGTAAAGAATGCGTGGTCCTGTTCAAGGCATTTGGATAAACCCTGCTGGGTTCTGGTGTTAAATGGTAAGGATTCCAGAAGCACACGAGACCTGTCCTTTTCCTAACAGTAACCGTTCTGCCCCCAGGACATTCGGAATCAGCGGAGATACCGGCAGAGGAGAAAGGCCGAGCTGGTGAAGCTGCAGCAGACGTACGCTGCTCTGAACTCCAAGGCCACCTTCTATGGGGAGCAGGTGGATTACTATAAAAGCTATATCAAAACTTGCTTGGATAACTTAGCCAGCAAGGGCAAGTGAGTATTTTTTTTTTCTTGAAGAATGAATCAGGGGAAAGTAGGGGAGGGCAAAACAGCAGAGGCAACTGAGGCTACATTGGAAATTTTCTCCTAAAACATCCTGGCTCTGTTTATTGCACAAGTTCTTTATTTTGCCTCCAAGCATTGTGCAATTGCCTAGTTCCATTGGTTAGTAAATGATGTAAGTCTCTGGTATCCGTAATGGGGGGCGGGGGAGTTCAAGGATGCTCATATCTGAGCGTCTCTTGCTCCAAAATATCTTCTTGGCCCTAGAAACCAGAATCATGGCAGGAGCCCATCTGGCAGTCCCCAAACCTAGGGAGACACAAGAATCACTTAAAGAATGTTATAAAAATAGGGATTCCTGGTCGCTCTCCGTACCTTTGGAGGGACGGGCTCACAGACCTGACTCCTCCTCAGGGGCTGAGGAGGATCTCCTGGCACCCTCCTGGCGCTGGCCACAGCCATCAGCGTGCCCGCTTTACAGGGCAGGGTCAGTTCACGTTCTGTGTTCAGGGTTAGTGCACTTTATTTTTCACTCCTAATTTTTTAAGGATTTCTCAAACCTCAGAAAGATAGATTGGAACAATAAAGACCCAAGTAACTTTCAACTGACTTCCCCAGTTTTGAAATATTTGCCACATCTGCTTCCCCTCTCTCTGGCTTACTTGCCTTTTTTTTTTTTTTTTTTCTCTCTTTTAAGATCATTTATTTTTGAAAAGCAGAGTTACAGGGAGGGAGAGACAGAGAGGATCTCCCATCCACTGGTTCACCCCCAAAATGGCCGCGATGGCTAGGCCAGAGCCAGGAGCCACATCCTAGGTCTCCCATGTGGGTGGCAGGGTCTCAGACCCTTGGGCCATCTGCCACTGCTTTTCCCAGGCCATTGGCAGGGAACTGAATCAGCAGTAGAGCAGCCGGGACACAAACCGGCGCCCATATGGGATGCCGGATGCCGGCATCGCAGGCAGCAGCTTTACTTGCTGCGCCACACCAGCCCTCGCTCACTTGCTCTTATACGTGCACTCTCTCCCCAGAGTGAGACAGGGCTCCCTCTGATGGGATGACAACCAGGCCGCCCAACCCAGCCTTGGCGCTACCTCCTGTGTCCTTTTGGCATGTCCTCTCTGTTGTAGTACTTCCTGAAATCCTTGCACAAGGTGTGTCAGGTTCAACTTGTATTTCCCCTCCCCAGGCCTGGAGTGAACTGTTTCCCCAAGCCTCCCTGGTTCCTTTTTATGAAGGATGATGTTTAGTAACCAAGATCTGGGGCCAGGCATTGGCACAGCAATGGAGATGCCCCTTGCGATGCACACATCCCATATCAGAGTGCCTAGGTCCAAGTCCCAGCTCCATTTCCAATTCCAGCTTCCTGCTCACGTGTACCATAGGAGGCATCAGTGATGGCTCAAGTATTTGGATCTCTGCCACCAATGTGGGAGACCCAGATATTTTTTTAAAAGATTTTATTGACTTGAGAGGCAGAGTTAGAGGGAGAAACAAATCTTCCAACCACTGGTTCACTCTCCAAATGGCTGTGACAGCCAGGGCTGGGCCAGGCCAAAGCCCAGAGCCAGGAACTTCTTCCTGGTGTCCCATATGGGTGGCAGGGCCCAAACACTTGGGCCATCTTCTGCTGCTTTGTCTGGCCATTAGCAGGGAGCTGATCCGACACAAACCAGCACCCATATGGGATGCCAGTGTCTCAGGCGGTGGCTTAACCCACTGCGCCACAACACCCAACACCGGCCCCCAGAGTGGTCTAGGCAGACAGCGACAGGTCTCCATTTTATTAAATGACTGCACGGGATCCCGTTGTACAGGGAAATACAAGGGTCTGTTTAATCAACTCCATTGGTGAACATTTTGCTGTTTCTAGTCGTTTAATGTTATTAAAAATTGTACAACAAACTAACTTTTGTCTCTCTAGACATACAGATAACAGATACATAGAGATATGAACATATGTATATATATCAAATACGCTTTTGCAAATGGGATCATACTTCTTTTTTTTTTTTCAAGGATTTGTTTATTTTATTTGAAAGAATTAGAGAAGGAGAGGGAGAGAGGTCTTTCATCTGCTGGTTCACTCCCCAATTGGCCGCAATGGGCGGAGCTGCGCCGATCCAAAGCCAGGAGCTGGGAGCTTCTTCCAGGTCTCCCAGGCGTGCGCAGGGGCCCAAGTCTTCCTACTGCTTTCCCTGGCCATAGCAGGGAGCTGGATCGGAAGTGGAGCAGCCGGGACTTGAACAGTGCCCATGTGGGATGCCAGCACTGCAGGCGACAGCTTTACCCGCTGCACCACAGCGCTGGCCCTGGGAGCGTGTTTCTGAAGATGAACTGCTGGAAGCGGAATGACTGTGCCTTTTACACTTTCAGTTGCCACCCCTGGGCGTTCCTCTCTTTGCTGCTGCCAGGGTTTCTGCCCTGCTTCGTGGAATGCTCCGCCTGGCGTCCCGCACCTGTTCCTCCTCCTCTCCGTCCCTCCCTGCTTCCTGCCCTGACCACCCTAACAGCCCCCTCACGGCTGTCTCTGCCCTCTTCCCTCTCGGATCGCTGTGCTAGCTTAGGCTCTCTTACAAACGATCTATTTGAAGATATTTTGATTCCACCCCCTCCCCACCCGCCGTGGCCGAGGGGCCTGGCCTTCAGGGCCGTTCCCTCAGGCTGGCGTCTGGAGCTCACACGCTGTCCCTCGCTCGGGCGCCCAGGAGGAGAGGGAGGTCCAGTTCGGGGGAGTGTTCAGATCTAAGGACACGGCAGTTCCGCGACGTGCCCTGTTCTGCGGCGATGCTGGTTACTGAATCCTCACCCTGTTTGTCATGTGTTAGTGTGCTGCTTGTTTGGGGGTTTTCTGGCCTCGTCTCCTTGAGATGCCTGCAACAAAGACTCTTGGTGTAGTCATCATATGAAGAGGCCTGCTGTGATTCTTACAGGGTCTCCAAAAAGCCTCGGGAAATGAAAGGGAAGAAAAGCAAAAAGATTTCTCTGAAATACACCGCGGCAAGACTCCATGAGAAGGGAGTTCTCCTGGAAATCGAGGATCTGCAAGTGAATCAGTGAGTGCTGACTCTGCACTTTGTCCTGTGGGTTGGTTTGTTTCCACGTTCTTCACATCTGATCTCTCCTTTCTCTCTCTTTCCTGACAGCCAGTTTGTATTTTATTCGTAAATAAGTACACACGCACCCATGCAGAATTAAGCCTAACACGCAGGGTTAATTTGTGCTAAACAAGAAAATATTTATTGCGGAACATTTGTCACCGGTTTGTGTAGGCCCCACCTTAACTTTTTCTCTTTAAATCAGTCCTTCAGTTTCCTGTGTGTCTGGCCCAGAAATAAATAAGAGCAAGAGTAGGAGGAACTTACTTCATTCCACATGTGCCTAGGACCTAGGGCCCTGTCCCCGCCTTCTGACCTGATGTCCCCCCAGGTCCTGGGCCCGGTACCAGCAGCGTCCATCCTCTGAGCTCCGGCTCCATCCACCCCATGACTCTAGGCTCCTCAGCTTTGTCGTGGTTTTTTTTTTTTTTTTTTTTTTTTTTTAGCTTTGTCTTCTTGAGTCTGCTTAAAAACAAAACAGAAAGAAATCTTTGTCTGAAAAGGAACTTTTTCATTGTTGAATTCTGAAAAAATTCTGTAATAAAGCATAAGGAAAAAGCACCCCAGAGACCGAGATAACTCCTGCAATTATTGCAGTATACTTGGAGTTTCTTTTCTGCCTTGATTTATATGAAAATTATCCATCTACCCACTTGCCTGTCTTTTTTTTTTTAAATGTTTATTTATTTATGTATTCGAAAGGCAGAGAGACACAGAGAAATCAGGACTAGGCCAAGCTAAAGGCAGGAGCCTGGAGCTCCATCTAGGTCTCCCACATTGGTGGCCAAGAACTAAGTACTTGGGCCATTATCTGCTGGTTTCCTGGACGCACTAGCAGGGAGCTGGGGCAGGGTGGAGCAGCCGGGACTGAAATCAGCACTCTGAAGTGGGATGCTCACCTCACAAGCAGCAGTTTAACCCAGTGTGCCGCGATGCCAGCCCCTACTACGTAATTTTTAAATATGAATCGGGATGTTATTGTTTATAGCCATGTATGCAGTCTTTTTCTTCCAACATTATATTGTGAGCTTTTTTCTTATTCTTTGAAAATATCCTTTTTAATGACTAGCATAAAATTCCTTAATTTAACCATTCACTTGTTAAATGCTTACATTGGTATTTGTACATTATTACCAGTAATATTTTAAATCTTTCCTCCTCCTCTGAATTGTTTAACCAGTAGATGCCCAATGCTGGAGTTTCTGGTCCGAGAGTGCTGTGTTATCTCTGTGTAAGATGTGCGCAGGCTGCGGTGTGCCATCCCGGCTGTTGGAGGGCCGGTGCTGCGCGGTCCTCAGTGCGATCGCTTGGTTATGCCACAGAACTCACCTTGCAGCACTGCGACTCCACACCCATTAGAATAACAGCTCCCCATCCGCTTCCTGCCGGCCTCCGCGGCCACCCGTCCACTCTGTCTCTGTGGACTTGACTGCGTTAGTTCCCTCATGTAAGTGGAGTCAGGCCCTGTTTGTCCTTGTGGCTGGCTGATCGCATACAGTGACTGTAACGCCCTCAAGCTTCATCCCTGTGGGAGCAGGCAGCAGGATTCCCTTCTGTTTTCAGTCCATGATACGAGTGTGCCACACTTTGTTTATTCACTCGCTGGTCGATGCGTACCTGGGGCTCTGCCTCTTGGCTGTCATGAGTAGTGTTGCAGTGCGCATGGGTGTGCACGTACCTCTTTGAGCTCTTTCAGTTCTTTGGGATATGAGCCTAGAAGTGGAATTGCTGGATATGTAGCAACTCTAGGATTTTTTTGTTTTCCTTTTTAATTACGAGAGAGAGAGAGTACTCCGATCCACTGACTCACTCCCCAAATGCCCACAATAGCCAGGGGTGGACCAGAATGAAGCCAGGAGCCTGGAACTCAATCCAGGGCTGTCATGTTGCTGGCAGGGGCCCAAGTGCTTGCACTGTCACCTGCTGTCTTCTGGAGTGTGTATTAGCAGGAAGCTGGGATTGGGAACCAGAGTCTAGAATCAAACCCAGATGCTTCCAGTATGGGATTTGGGCATAGTAATTGTCATTTTAACTACTAAGCCAAATGCCTGCTATGCTGTTTTGCAGTGTTAAGAAAATCTTCAATTCCTGTACGTATTGCCAAAATATTTTCTAGTAGAGACTAAAGTGATATGAAAATGGCTTGCCACTGTTGGATAGTAAAATAATTTTTGATGTTTTTAAATTCAGTCATTAAAAATATTTTCAAAATTTATATTTCTTAGATTTCTAATTGAGTATTTTGTTTTCTGGGTTTTGGGGGGAGTGGTTAGATAAAGTTTGTCTGTATTTTCTCTGGTTAAGTTTTCAATCAGGAACCTTGGTCTGTCTTGGTCTATCTGTTTTTGTGGGGTTTTTTTGTTTGGTGCTTTATGTAGTTTCAGATTTGTCTCTATTTATAACCTGTTCTCCGTTTTCATTATGTTCTGTTACTGTTCAAGTGCCTCTCTCTGTTTGCCTCTCTCTATTCTTCTTTATTTGCTCCTGAGCTTAGAAACCAGTTAACCAGGTCATAAAGAAAGCCTCCGTGAGGCGTTCCAGCAGAGTAAAACACACGTGTTCCCATGCGTGGATGTTTTGGCCGCTTCTGTGGCTCTCAGTTCGTTTAGAACAGGCGAGGAAGCATGCTGCTTGAACCTAGGGATGGGGCTGATGTGAGTGGGTCGCTCGTGGCGTCATGAGAGCAGTGACCTCTGGTCGTACCCAGTACACTTGCATACTCACAGCACCTGCTCTGTCAGGAAACCTCCCCCAGGGCGCTGACACTGACCCCTCTTGTTTTCATTTGCTTGCTGTTCCCAGCCCTCAAACACGCACGCACTCGAACGTGTGCTCTCACCTCTCCCTCCAACCCCGCTCCTCCCCTAGGTTTCCGCAGGGGGACGTTGAAGGCCAGGAGAATGTCTGTGGTGTCATCCCGTCACAGGCCACTTGTGATGCCTGTCAGTAGGCGCAGGTGTGCGGGGAGAGATTGGTGTCCTCTTGCCAAGTCCCAGAGCAGGTGGTCCTGGGAGTGCCACGCCCCTCGCCTGCGGAAGTACCGTGCCCTGGAAGGCCTGGTTCCTCCTCTGTCCCCGTCTCACAGGATATTGTTATAGGAGCGCATAGAAAGCACACCCTTTCGTTGTTGTGTCTCAACAGGTTTAAGAATGTTATCTTTGAAATCAGTCCGACAGAAGAGGTTGGAGACTTTGAAGTGAAAGCCAAATTCATGGGCGTTCAGATGGAGACTTTCATGTTACATTATCAGGTGGGTGTGCGTCAGGGAGAGCTGGGAGCTTCCTGCGAGAGGCAGCCGCGTCCTGCTCCCAGGAGGCCAGGGAGATGGCCAGGAGACTGCGTGGGGAGAGCTGTCGCGGTCGGCGGGGCTGCGGCCGAGGCTTCTGGTGTCTGATTCGGTCGGCACACCCGGCCAGCTCTTCACAGATGTGCTCGTCCTCAGAGAGCGTCACTCTGACGCTGCCTCTTCGCGCCGCCACTGACCTGAACCCGGTGCAGGCGTTACTAGCGCAGCGTCGGAAGCCTGCCTTGCCTGAAGTCCCCCCCTCCGCCCCGGGTCTGGGTTTGCACAGTCAAGCCTGTAAACTGAATTCCGCGGCCACTCGTTCTGCAGCATACCTGGCCCTGATTTTTCTTTGCAAGAGCTCTGATTCTGATGCACTAACGGCGTCGGGACCTCTAGTGATGCCGACTCCTCTAGCCTCGTGTGTGTGGCACTTCCACTCCGCTCCGGGCTCGCTGCCGGCCCTGCTCCACACCACTGCATTCCGCCAGGCCGCCCAGGTGCTTCTCTGCACGTGCTGCTCTCCACCAGTTGGGTGCCTCGCCTCTCCTCCCTGCCCCGCCCCCGTCGGGCCGTGAGCCCTGGGTGCGCGCCGCCTGCCCTGGAACCCTGGCTGCAGCGGGTTCTCCCCGGCCTCAGCAGCCCTTAGAGGGGGCCTCTGTTAGAGATGGGCATTTCCCTCCCACCCCCAAAAGCGAGAACTCCTAAGGGCAGGGAGCCTTTCTTAGTCATCTTGTTTCCTTCTCGGCAACCTACACCCTCAAAACGCGCTAGCTGAACAAGCGTGAGATGATTTGTATGCACACAGCTAGCCAGGTACTTCAACAGAGCCGTTTATGCACTCCGTTTACCGGAATTCACCGAGGCCTACCAGTCTCCCCCGGGTGATTGACTCATTTGTGCACAGACTCCATCAATGGAGCTGCCGCCGGGAGCTGGGAATTGTGTTGGGCACAGGTGGTGCGCCACAGTCGCCACCCTCAGCGAGCTGCTCGGGTTTTCCCGAAGGGTGAACAGATTGCACTTTGAGGGTTGTCTCAAGCCTTGTCACCCTTGCTTCCTCGTCTCTGCTCTCCTGACATGGAGAGGCGCACCCTCTCCAGTTTCTTCAACACAGTGGGGCAGCAGGGGGTCGTGGTAGTCAGGTGTGGACCTTCCTTGGCCAAGCCTGTTCTGCCAGACAAGTCGTTCGGTCTCTGATTGCTGCGGCTCCTCTCTGGAGCTGGGATGGTGGCACCTTGCAGGATTCTCGTGAAGACCTAAGACACTGTGCAAGGCGCTTCTTCGAAGCTGAGGGCACGTGCGCCCTGCCGCCCCCTGCCTTCAGGAGAGAAAGGCTGCTCCCGTGACGCGGGGCTCCAGGCCTGGGCCACGGCCCCGTCGCAGCCTCCGTGGTCAGGGCACTTCCTCGTGGGCTGAGGCACCTCCACCCTCCCCAGGTGTACGAAAGCTGGTGACCCGTAGCTTGGGATGAAGTGGGGAAATGTCACCGTAACTTCTGAAATAAAAAGGTTAGATGTGTGTGATAACCAGGCACACTTCATTTTCTTTCCACGCCTGCTGGGTTTTAATATAAACAAAAGCCTTCCTAACTCCAGCTGAACCAGAACCCTCTGCCGGCCAGGGTGCCCCGTGGCCCGGCCCTCGGGCGGCTCCGTCGCCGGGAGCCCTCTTCTCGCCCTGCTCCCTGGCTGGCACCCGGGGCCTGCACCCCTCCCTGCGTCGCGGCCATTCCTCTCGAGCTGCACAGGCTTGGTTCACCGTCCGAGTGTTCTGTTCTGTTCTGTTTTTTTTAAACAGGACCTGCTGCAGCTCCAATACGAAGGCGTCGCCGTCATGAAACTCTTTGATAGAGCTAAGGTAAACGTCAACCTCCTGATCTTCCTTCTCAACAAGAAGTTCTACGGGAAGTGAGGAGCCCGTGCTGCCGGCCGGGGTGCAGGGGAGAAGGCGGCGCGGCTGCCCGGCGGGAGTCCTCCACTCACTGAAGCCAGCCCCAGCCCGCAGCGCTCCTCGGTCTCGGTAGCCCAACGCCACTCTGCTAACTCCTGCCCTCCTAGGCCGTGCGTTGCCCCTGTTCATAGAGAAATTGTATTTCAGGCTTAGTCTGGCGCTCTGGCTCCTTTGTTTTCCTCCACGGCTTCGGAAAGAGTGGGAACGCCACTAAAATCTCTGTTGTTACAGTCTCCAAAGTTGCATTACTGTATCGTAAGCTCTGGTGTTTAGGTAGCAGTCAGAAGGGTGGGATTCCAGTTCTTGTTTTAGACATGGAAGCTGTGAGCACCAGTGGCACGCCTCTGCGTGAGCTGCACAGTGAACCTGTCAGGTGGTCGGGGGTCGCTGGGAAGGGAAGTTCCTCTGTATCTCTGCCCCGTCAGTACAACAGAAGGGCCAGGGATCGCTGCCACTCCTCCGTTCTGTTGTACTTTGTGGGCAGGAGCTAGAGGAAGTCACCACTCTGTATTCTAAGGGAGTATTTATAGAGAAAAGGAGATTAAAAAAAAAAATCACTGTCAAATTCAGGCGTTTCTGTTAGTGTAGCGCCCTCTGCGCTGGATGGAGAGTCCCCTTGGCAGTGTGCAGTGGCTCAGGTGAGCTCAGGAGGCCACGACGTCCGTGTGTGCGTCCCTGCTGAGAGACAGACGTACTTCTGGCCCGTGGCCTGCTCCTCCCCTGGCGCCAAGACTGGGGTCTCCCCGTGTAGGGTAGAACTGGGTTTAAAACTGTTTTATATCTTAAGAGTGCCTTCTTAAAATGTAGATTTATTTCTTAAAAAGGGGGTGATAGGAATTTAAGATTCATATAATGCTTCAAGCCTTTAGAGAACTACTTGGAGAGGGTTTGAAAGTTGGTTTATCTGTATATCTGAACTCTTGAAGCTCTCTTATAGCTGAAACACTAGGATTTCTCTGCCAGGTTGCAGAGAGAGAGAATCCTGCCTTAACTAGCCAAGACAAAGACAAGCAAACCAGCGGATGTCACACTTGAGGTTCAAATCCACTTCTCCCTCCTCTCCTCTCCTGCTGCCTGCACTGTGCCTTTGTTCTCAGAGCCCCGGTTTTCTGGGCTCAGTCAGAAACAGTTCAGTTCAAAACACTGAAGTAAGGAAGCCTTTCTTCTTGGGTGAAAACTCTTGTACTTTAAACAAAATCTATGTGTCCGAGGAGATGCCGACGTCAGGCTCCCGAGCCTCCGTTTCCTCCACGGTCTTGGTTCAGTGCCCTTTTATCCCCAAAGCTAAAACTTGGGAGGCTGACGTGAAAGAATTTACAGATGTTTATTGAAAGCCAGTAAACTTTTAATTAATGACAAATGAGGCGGCGAGTCCCGTGACAGGTGTTATGCGAGCGTCTCTCCTGACAGGCGGCTTCCCCGGTGCAGCAAGGCGCGGGGAGCCGGGGAGGAGTCGCCTCCGCCCTGATCTTCTCTCGTATTTTGGAAGAGGATTTATTTTTTAGTGGGCTCCGTCCTTAGATCTAAAGGGGGAGGCAATCGCAGCCAGCCCCGCCACGGAAGCTGTGTCAGGCGCTTCCCTGAAGAGGGGACAGCCAGCCCAGGTGCCACCTCCAAGGCACCCCGTGGTGAGCAGAGGTTACGACCGCTGCAGTCAAACACCATGCCCCCATTCCGGGTGAGGATCACCGCTCCTAACACAGCACGGGCGCCGGGTGCCCTCCGGGGGTCTGCAGTCAGAGGACGCCCTGTGGCATCCCACGCTGCACGGGGACCCCGCAGGGCCATGCAACCATTATTTATTAGCCATAGCGTTCCTTCTCCACCCCCCTCCTCTCTGGCCAGCCATCATGACATTTACCATGAATTTACTTCCGCCCCAGAACCTGGACTGCCCGTCGGATTGTTGCTACACACAATTGCCTTTGTATCTCTGTATGGAATAAAAGGTCATTTGTTCGTGTTTGTGTTTATTTTTCTCAGTGTCGTTGTTAGCAGTTCCTGCTAAACAGTGTCGCCTAGAGGGAGATTTAATAATTAAAAACCACAACAGAGAACAACCCCTCGTGTGCTGGCGACCGCGGCCAGCGTGTCGGTGCTGCCCGCCCCACGTTAATACAAGAAAAGCCGCTTCAGCATACAAAGGCGGGCGAGCAGATGCGACTCACTTAATTCTGACTGGCGGGGGCTGGAGCTTTAAAGCTGAGCGGCATTGAACGTCACTGTGGACCACGGCACAGGGGGGCGGGCTGGGTTCCCATGCGAGGAAGGAGCGGGGACATGGGGTCTGGAAAAACACGAAAGGGGGCCCTTTTGAGCGAGTAAAGCCAAAGCCCGGGCGGGAACTCCGCCTCTCCCACGGTGGCAGGGCAAGCACCTGGGCCGTCATCCGTCTCCCGGGAACTTTCACAGGGACCTGGAGCGGAGGTGGAGGTGGGACTCGATCCCAGGCACTTCAGTGTGGGCTGTGGACGTCCCACGTGCTGCCACCGTTGCCTAGCCCGTGGGTTTTTGTTTTTGTTTTCAAAGATTTATTTATTTATTTGAAAGAGTTACAGAGAGGCAGAGGCAGAGAGAGATCTTACATCCACTGGTTTACTCCCCAAACGGTTACAACGCCAGGAGCTTCTTCCAGGTCTCCCATGTGGGTGCAGGGGCCCAGGGATCTGGGCCATCTTCTGCTTTCCCAGGCCATAGCACAGAGCTGGATCGGAAGTGGAGCAGCCAGGACTTGAACCGGTGCCCATATGGGATGCTGCCACTGCAGATGGCGGCTTTACCTGCTATACCACAGTGCTGGCCCTGCTCATGGGTTTCTCATATTTACATTTCCATAGAAGTGAAGCCTACTTTCCATTTTCTTTTTTTTTTTTTTTAAGATTAATTTTTTATTAACTTGAAAGAGTTACAGAGAGAGGTAGAGATGGAAAGGTCTTCCATCCGCTAGTTCACTCCCCAAATCGCTGCAACAGCCAGAGTTGAGCCAATCCAAAGCCAGGAGCTTCTGGGTCTCGCACGTGGTTGAAGGGGCCCAAAGACTTGGGCCATCTTCTACTGCTTTCCCAGGCCACAGCAGAGAGCTGGTTTCTATTCTATTTGCCTTGTAGAATTTCTTTCTTTGTTTTTTTTTTTTTGTTTTGTTTTGTTTTGTTTTGTTTTTTTAATTTACTTGAAAAGCAGAGTTGGAGGGAGGGAGAGAGCACGCTTCATCTACTGGTTCACTCCCAAAATGGCCACAACTGCCAGGACTGAACCAAGCCAGAGCCAGGAGTCCAAAGCTTTCTCCAGGTCTCCCATGTGGGTACAGGGGCCCAAGGACTTGGATAATCCTCTGCTGCTTTCCCAGGCACATTAACAATGAGCTGGATCAGAGCCGGCGCTGCGGCGTAGCGGGTGAAGTCGCCGCCTGTAGTGCCGGCATCCCATATGGGTGCTGGTTCTAGTCTCTGCTGCTCCACTTCCGATATAGCTCTGCTGTGGCTTGGGAAAGCAGTAGAAGATGGCCCAAGACCTTGGACCCCTGCACCCATATGGGAGAAGCGGAACAAGCTCCTGGCTCCTAGCTTCGGATCTGCACAGTTCCAGCCGTTGCAGCCATTGAGGAATGAACCAGCGGATGGAAGATCTCTCTCTGCCTCTCCTCTCTCTGTGTAACTCTGATTTTTGGAAAAAAAAAAAAAAGGGAGCTGGATCAGAAGTAGAGCAAGCCAGTACCTGAACCAGGGCCCATATGGGATGCTGGTGGTGGAGATAGTGGCTTAACCCACTACACCACAGCCCCCCCCCCATAGAATTTTATGATGTAATTTATTTTTTCTTTTTTAAAATGTACTTGAGAGGCAGAGAGAGACCTCTTATCTGCTGGTTCAGTCCCTGCTGGCCAGGCTGAAGCCAGGAGCTAGGAATTCAATCCAGGTCTGCCTTGTGGCCAGGACCCAGGTACTGAGCCATCACCACTGTCTCCCAGAGCCTGCAAGAGTAGAAAGCTGGGGTCAGATGCTGGCACCAGGGGTCAAACTCGGGTACTCAGATATGTGACCTGGGTGTCTCAGTCAGCATCTTAACCCCCAGGCCAAACACCAGCTTCCTGATGTGGGTAATATTTTTAAATACCGCTTATTTCTGGTCATTCGATCATAAAAGTATAACAAAATACAAATTAGTTTTCTGTGACCATAAGGCTATGATGAACTCAATCCAGAAAAATATTTTGTATCTTTATGACTATTGCTAGTGCCTCTTTGATCATTATAGTGTAATATATTGTCTTGATAAAGAATTCTGAAAAATTGCATTTCTTGAGATAATGTTTTGTAAAAAGTTTTGAGCAGGTATTGTGATACAGAGGATTAAGTGCTGCTTTGGAAGCCACTGCTTATAATGCCTGCTTCCCATGTCGGGGAGCCAGGGAGCTCGTCCTGCCTCAGCTTCTGACTGGATTCCTGCTAGTGCACACTCCAGGGGTGATGGCTCAAGTACTTAGGTCCCTGCCACCCACGAGGGAGACCTGCATGAAGTTCCTAGCTGACATAAGCATTTGGAAGTGAACCAGATCTCTCTCTCTTTCTCTTTTAAGATTTATTTTATTTATTTGAAAGAGTTACAGAGAGACGTAGAGACAGACAGAAAGGTCTTCCATTTGCTGGTTCACTCCCCAACTGGCCGCAACGGCCAGAGCTGCACCCATCTGAAGCCAGGAGCCTCCTCTGGGTCTCCCACACAGGCTCAGGGGCCCAAGGACTTGGGCCATCTTCTGCTATTGCAGGCCATAGCAGAGAGCTGGATTGGAAGAGGAGCAGCCAGGACTAGAACCAGCGCCCATATGGGATGCAGGCACTTCAGGCCAGGGTTTTAACCTGCTGTGCCATAGCACATGCCCCACCAAATCTATCTCTAACCAAAATCAATCAATCTCTTTCTCTCTCTCTCTCTGCCTTTCAAATGAATAAAAGTAAAATTTAAAAAATAAAGGTTTGGAGCTGGTACCGTGCCGCAGCAGGTTAAGACACCGTCTGCAGCGCCGGCATCCCGTATGGGTGCTGGTTTGAGTCCCGGCTGCTCCACTTCTGAACCAGCTCTCTGCCAATTGCCTAGGAAAGCAGTGGAAGATGGTACAAGTGTTTGGGCCTCTGCCACCCTCCTGGGAGACCCAGAAGAAGCTCCTGGCTCCTGGCTTCGGCCTGACTCACCCTAGCTGTTGTGGCCATCTGGGGAGTGAACCAGCAAGTGGAAGATGCTCTCCCTCTCCCCATCCCCATCCTTCTCCCTCTAACTTTGACTTTCAAATAAATAAATCTTTTTTTAAAATTATCTTTCAGCAAAATCATATCTTTTGAAATAAATAAATAATGGTTAGGGGTCTGAATTGTGTGGTAAGCCGCTGCCTATGATGCCAGCATCTCACTTGAGTGCTAGTTCGAGCCCCGGGACCTCTACTTCCAATTATCCCCCTGTTAATGTGCTGGGAAAGCAGCAGATGATGCCCAAGTACTTGGGCCCCCGCACCCCTGCAGGAGACCCAGAGGAGTTCTAGGCTCCTGACTTTGGCATGGACCAGCCGTCGCAGCCATTTGGGGAGTGAACCTGAGGATGAAAGATGTCTCTTATTCTGCCTTTCAAATAAATTTTTTTATTTTTAGAAAATTTATAAATACTTTTGCTACAATGAAATGTAGCTAGTGGCCGGCGCCACAGCTCACTAGGCTAATCCTCCTCTTTGCGGCGCCAGCACACCGGGTTCTAGTCTGGATCGGGGCGCCAGATTCTGTCCCGGTTGCTCCTCTTCCAGGCCAGCTCTCTGCTGTGGCCAGGGAGTGCAGTGGAGGATGGCCCAAGTACTTGGGCCCTGCACCCCATGGGAGACCAGGAGGAAGCACCTGGCTTCTGCCATCGGATCAGCGCGGTGCACCGGCTGCAGCGCGGCGGCCATTGGAGGGTGAACCAATGGCAAAGGAAGACCTTTCTCTCTCTCTCTCTCTCTCTCTCTCTCTCACTGTCCACTCTGCCTGTCAAAAATAAATAAATAAAAAATGTGGCTAGTGACTAATCCTCTTCCTATGTTCATTTTTTTTTAATTATTTATTTGAAAGGCAGAGTGAAAGATCAAAAAGTCCTCCATCAGCTGGTTCACTCCCCAGATGCTCCTAACAGTTGGGCCTGAACCAGGCCAAAGCCAGGAGGCAGGAGCTCCATCCTGGTCTCCCATGTGGATGACAGGGGCCCAAGTACCTGAGCCAGTGTCTTCTGCCTCCCTGGCACATTAGCAGGAAGCTGGATCAGAATCCGAGTAGCTGGGACTTGAACCAGGTGCTCTAGTATGGGAGACAGGTATCCCAAAAGGCAACTTAAGCCACGGCACCACGACACCTGCCCCCACTTTTCATTTTTTGGAAATGTAAGCTGTGAGAAACATTGAAGTGTTTTGTTACAGCAGTGCCATCCATTTCTTAAGACTCCTTAATTTTAAAAATAACAAAATATGATTAGATCCCTTGATTTTATTGAAAAAAAAAAAAAAATCCTGACTGCTCCTCTTCCAATCCAGCTCCCTGCTAATGGCCTGGGAAAGCAGTGAAGGATGGCTTAAGTGCTTGGGGCCCTGCACCCATGTGGGAGACCCGAAAGAAGCTCCTGGCTCCTGGCTCCTGGCTCCGGATCGGCCCAGCTCTGGCTGTTGTGGCCATCTGGGGAGTGAACCAGTGGGTAGAAGACCTCTATCTCTGTCTCTCCCTCTCTGTACTCTGCCTCTCAAATAAAAATATTTTTTAAAAGATACTTTGAGGAAGAGGAACTGTTTTGATATTCCTTCAGCCCTGCAGTCTTTTACTTTTTGTTTTGTTTTTACCATGGAAAAGTTCCAGCGGGCAAGTGTAACAGAAGACGGTATAATGAACTCCCTTGTGTCCACTTTCCAGCCCGTAATTATCCACACATGGTCCAACTTGTTTCACCCCTGCCTC